CCAGGGGAGGTGGCTGTGGGGGTGGCTGGGTCACAGGTGCCTTCACGGGGGACCAGGGGAGGTGGCTGTGGGGGTGGCTGGGTCATGGGGGTACTGCCCTCAGAAGGGGTTGATGAGTTCTTGCTGTACCCTGGTGAGTTTCTCAAGAGCCAGTTGTTAGTAGAGTGACCCCAAGTTCTGCTTTCTCCCTCACAATGAGATCTCTTCTGCACAGACTTGGCTCCCGCACTTTGGTTCCTTCTTGTCTTATAAGGTTCCCTTGCCTCAGGCTGAACATGGGGCTGCCCAGTCTTACGTTTTAGCCTCCAAACTGTGAGCTATCGACCTCTTTTGTTTATAAAGTCTCCAGGCTCCAGTATTTTGTTATAGCAACATCACATAGAGGGCAAAAAGTGGACACCATCTTTAGCATCGTGAGGAATTCACACACCAACACACAGCACGACACTCCAAGCTGCAGGGGCGCTCCAGGCTCAAGGTGCCACCGCCAGTCCCAGCACTCAGTTCTGTCTTCTTGAAGAAGAAGGTTATGGTTAGGGAGCTCTCGACTCTGAGCCCAGACACCTTCGTACTCCCGTATCCGGCACCCTGAAAGAGCCGCACCTGCTCTCTCCACGGAGGCGTGCTAGCGGCCAAGCTCTCAAACACGGCAGAGACACGTACATCACAGAAGGCTGTTTTAGTTTAGGGTTAGGGTTTTAGTTCTGAGCATCAAAAAGTAAGTAAGGGGTTACTTTTAAAAGGGTAAAAATACCTTAATTGTGTCCTTTTAAATAAGGGTGGGCTTAGAAGTTAAGACCCTTGAATTCAAAAGCTCCTGTTCTCTTTACTGTCAGCCTCTGACATTCTAAAAAAAGAGAAGAAACCAGCAAAAAGGGCGTGAGAACAGGAGAAGCCGCTGCGGAGAAGGCCTGCCAGTCATGCCCGCCTGCCATGCTCGCCAGGTGGCAGGGGCCTGGCACCCAAGGGTGGACACCCATGGCTGCCCCAGCTGCTCAGTCTGGGGCAGCCGACACTGACCCAGCGGCCACAGGGGCAGAACAAGCCTGTGGCGAGAGAGCAGAGGCCCCTGCTGGCCCCTCTGGGAACGCAGGGTCTGCGGCTAGCCAGAGCCCGCGCCTTGCAGAGGGACAGGGTGAGCAGAGGCCGGGCACCTCTCCTGCCAGGCGGGCAGCCGAGGCCTGAGGACCCGAGGCATCGGGGGCAGTGAGCGCGCGGGGTACTTGCCGCTGAGCAGGGGCTTGTTGAGGGTGTAGAGGGGCGGCAGGTCCTCGATGTTGGAGATGCGCTGGTACATGGCCCTGGAGAGGTGGTCGCCGTGGTACAGGCTGCCCAGGATGATGCTGGAGAAGTAGACGGGCTCCACGAAGATGCTGAGCAGGGAGCCCTGGGTGCCCACCACGTTCCAGCTGCGGGGAGAAGGACAGCGCTCAGTGGCACCTGCCGTGACCGCCCCGCAGGGCGAGGTCCAGCTGCCTGCGGGGAGCCTCACAGGCAGGGTCTGCTGGACAGCCACGCAGAACGGAGCGTCCTGCCGCCTGAGCCAGGACAGCCTGGGGTGCTCCAAGGCCCTGGCGCAAGGTGCCCCAGGAACCTCAGGCCTGCGGGGGGCAGCCCGCACTCCACCCCCCCAGAAAGGACAGCTCCGACGTCACTGCAGGCCCGGGAGCCGCCCCCTCCTGCCCGTGGGCGAGAACACAGCACTGCGCACGGCCGGGAGGTGGTGGGGGCACTGACCCTCCTGCCCACGGCTGTGGCAACCCAGAGTCACCGCACACCCCTCAGCCCCAGACTGCCCAGGCACCAGTGGGCAGGCCACCTGAGGCCACAGAGGGACCTAAGTGGGCAGACAAGCAACCAAACGCACAGGAGTGAAGATCCCAGCCCCAGGTGGAACGGGGCCGGGGGAGCCCACTCTGGGGCAGAGGAGAGGGCTGGCCACGGAGGCTCCCTGGGGCTTCAGGACTGAGCACG